AAGTACTTGAATTATTTACCTTCCTATCCTTTGGTTGAAAAAGTTTTTTCATTAATCCATTTTGTCCCTTGATGTCACTTGTTCATTATTGCTGTCAAATTCCTAGTCTGAATCTTCTTTTTTCTTTGAAATGAATTGAATATGAAGCCAGATTCTTCCCTGATAATGAAACCAGCATTGAAATTTGTTGATGAGTCAATCAATCAATCAGAATAGAGTTGGAAGGGACCTTGGAGGTCTTCTAGTCCAACCCCCTGCTCAAGCTGGAGAGGGGAAATTAAGCTTAAATAAAAATCTTGAAAACATGACATATAGTGACCTAACAAGATGACTTTTATAAACACAATTGAAATATAAACTGATAAGAAAAGATGCTATATGCTGATGTTACTGTTATTTGTATAAACACAAAGGTTTACATTTAACTTTATGTATATTGAATTTTAAGAATAGTATTTGCTTAAGCTTGACAAAAGGAGAACATTATTGGATGAAGAGAAGATCAAAGAAATATATCATTAGTATATTGATTATGGAACTATAGAAATTAATTATTGTTGATTGTTTTTTAAACATACGAACCCAGAAAACACACTGTTTATTAAGCACTAAGGAATGTTATTGTAAAAAATTAATAAATTTTTAAAAAAAGAAAATATGAGAGTCAACCAAGGCAGAGACATTCAGTTCTGATGCCTCATAAGCATGTTGTGTCGTTCATTTAGCTCAAATGGATATGGCAGGCTATAAGAACTTTCTCTAAAACAGTCAGGAAAATATAGAGAGCTTTAACCTTGAAAACAATGTGCCTTTTGTAATATTTAGCAAGGGCTGGATGATATCAATGTAAAGTTCTAGTCTTTTACCTTAGTCTTGGCCACTATTTGCAATGCACTAAATCAATTCTGGGAACACTATTTTAAAGACTTGGAAATAAATGCAACTTAATCTATTGCCAATATCAGGTTCTTTATACATGTAATCAATTTACTGCATAGAATGCCAATGACATAAGTTACAACTAACATTTAAACAACATTCACTTGTTCTGTCTTCCTTGGAGATAAGGAAGGAATGAACAAGCCATTAAGGGGAAACCTTAATATTAATATAATATATAATTAATATTGTTGTTTTTACTATCTGGGGGCAAAACCTACAATAATTCTATGTTTTTACCTCTTGTATCATTTCCAAAATCCAAGATGTGTTTGAGAAATTCAGGATAAAGAAATGTATACAATTATTTTCTCAAATGGCATCTTTATGTTCTGTTTCTGCATGAATTTTTTCCCCCAATCCAACACATTAAACCTTTATGGTTCTATAATATTTGAAAACTAAAAATGAAATGAAAACTCATTCAGCATTGGTATAAATACAGAGCTTTAATTCTTTTAATATATGTTATTAATTTAATACTGTTTGGTTAATTGTAGTAAAGCTGACTGGATATGAACTTGGTAAATAGCCAAAAAAAAAAAAAAACCTTTTAAAACAGATCTTTAAATGTTTTTTTTTCTCCTCCAAGTCAACAATGAGATTAGCAATCATTTATGTCAGGATGTATTGGTTTAAATTATTTTTATCAGTTGAATTAAATAATGAAAAGTTGTACCTTGAAAAACCTTTGTTGTTCCATAGAAAGGTATATAAAGAATTAGAATAGAAAGTCTTAAAGACAGAAATACAGTATATGATCAATTTTTATATGATCTGTTTGAATACCAAAACTCATTAACCAAGGCCTTTTTTGTAAATATACCTATTTTGAAATTGGTGCAATTTCTCAATATAATTTTAATAAAGGAAGAAACTAAATATCCCTTGTGACAAAATGTATTAGATTGTTTTCTAAACAAACAAAATGTATTAAGTCTTTTTCTAAACACTTGTCTTGAGATATTTTTAACATGCAATATGAATTAATTTCAAATCGCGTATCAGATATTTCCAGGTAGTGATCCAAAACTATAGGAAGTGGATACGAAACTGACATGATTTGATGTTTACCTTATTCTTGCACCATAAAAAAAAATCACACAGATAAACAAGGTAAATTGCTTGTGAGGAATTGCAGATATTAAGCATTCTGTACACCAAATATTTCTATCTTATCATATTCTGCCCCAACTGCAAAAGTCTGCGGATCTGGTTTTAAAGCTACGAGCTAAACCCTTTACGAGTTGCAGGAGATTGTGGTGCCATATTGTTCTGTTACTGCCATTGCTAACCCCACGATTAACACACTATACAATGAGACAATTTTACAGAATTATTTAAGCCTAACACATCCCCTGAGTTAGCCTGCGGCATGCCTCCTTACCCTTCACAAAACAGTACGGGAAGGCAGCTTCAATGGTGGAAACCATTAATTGGAAAAGACCTGCAATCCATTTCAAAGATGCAACAGCCCTTAAGAACAGCAGCACAGAACCCACAATACACCTGGTGGCCCGAGTTCAGCCATGCTTTTGGTGAGAAAAATCATCTTAAACCAAGACTAGGTAAGAATGTAAGACCAACTATTTGGGGAACAAGGTTCTTCTTAATCCAGCATTTGCTTCCTCACAGTGGTCAGTCAACCAAAACAGGTCCCCCCCCCCAAAAAGGATCCAGGATGCTGTCTTCCTCCCATCACTTTTCCTCTATTATTGGTATCTAAAGGAAGACTTCTCCAACCTGCAAGTAACATAGAGTCTTCAAGATAGGTAGCCTTGGGTAGACTTCTCCTCCATGGATTTATCCAAGTCCCTTTGAAAGCCATACATGTTGATGGCAATCGCCACTTTTTCTGGTCATGAATTCCACAGATTAATTACGTGTTGCATGAAATGCTTCCATCTCTCTCTTCTAAATCTCCTTCCCATAAGATTTACTGGATGATCCTAACATTTTGAGAGAGGGAGAACACTTTTCTCCATCCACTTCCTCTACACATTGCATGATTTATACACATCAACTTTTGCTAAGCTAAGCTAAGCTTAGCTCCCTGAAGATTTTGGCTACAACCTTCTGCACCTTTTTTCCCCAGCTTTATTGCACCATCCTTTTCAAACTTTATAACCAGGACTGTAAATCACATTCCAGATGCAAAGGTATCACGGATTTGGATAAATTCAGTATAACAGTTTCATTTGCAATCCTTTTGTTAATGATCTCTATGATGGAATTTATCTTTTTCACAGCTGCCATACTTTTGAGTTGACCTCAATTTTCATTCCTGGTTGGTTACAGAAAGTCCTGTTTTTGGTTGACCTTGACCGGTTCTCTGCTTAAACTCAACCAACACCACCTATGAACAAGTTAAAAAGCTCCAGTCTCAGTTCTGTTTCCTGAGAAGAATGCCAATTAGTCTTCACTTTCTGTTGTTGAGTATGGTAGCAATCCATAAAAGGACAGGCCCACTAGTACTCAAAAGCTTTGGATATTGTCAAAGGCTCTCTGCAAATTATAGTCAACTGAGACATTTCCATTCTGTACTTGTTGATACCGTAAAGTAACTCTAAAACCTGACTGATGCAAGATCTACCTTGCATAGACCATGTGATTTCCCTTCACCAATGTTTGTTCTTCTATGAGCTTATTCTCTCACATCAACTTGCCTACACGTTTAACTTACGATACTATTCACAGGTCTATGCTGGGTTCCTTTTCAAAAGATAATGCCAGATTGGTTACCTCCTAAAACCTTTGGCACTGCACCTAATTTTTATATTTGATTTCTCAAACCTTGGCAACTTCTAAGACTTATGGACTTCAACTCCCAGAATTCCCCAGCCAGCCATTTCCCCACCCAGAGGAGTTCTGGGAGTTGAAGTCCATGGGCTTCAAAGTTGCCAAAGTTGGACACCCTTGCCATAGTAGACCAACTGAGCTATTTTCTAGGATGTTGAGAAACATGTTTTTTTCTCTGGCTTGAATCCACCTCAACTGTGGGGAACCTCAAGTCCCTCATGATTGTAACAGCTTCTTTTCTCGATTTCTTTCACTACCCTCAACATTTTGACCACCTGGGCAACAGCATATCCCTAAACATCCATCCATCCATCCATCCATCCACCTAACTACCTACCTATCATATTCGTGGCCAGACAGTGCCTCCCATAGTGATTGCGTGGAAGACCCTGGTCTTCCAACATTTTCTACCACATTACATTTCATACCCTTTTTGATCTGAAGAACAAGACTTCCTCCAGTATGGCCTTTCTCATCAGCAAAGAGCTGCCTGGTGGGGGGAAAGCCTCGCTAAGGAAAAGCTGCAAATCTGGTCATTGGCCAAGGGAATAATTTTATGCCCCTTGAGGTTTCATTGCCAAGCAACAAAGGAGGGATAATTAGACCAACACGCGTGCCTTCGCCTTCTCCATCTTGTGCACAAGCATGCCCGCCCAACGTGAAACATTCCCCTTTCCCCTCAAACGTGATGGTTGTTGAACTTATTTTTAGTGTCATTTGATAAGCTTCCCTGCTTGCAGAGAGACATCCCACTGACCCAGCCACTGGTCATTGTCTATACCGGTTCCCATCAAAGTAGGCGCATTTTGTCAGGTTTCGCCTCGAATATCCATTTTGCATCTGAAGTACAGTATCGAAAGTGACTGGATCATTTGAGCCTTTTTCTTCAGCTGCTGCCTTCCTCCCCCCCCCCCATCCCACCCCACCCCACCGAGCTTCCTTTTACGCTAACACTGTTTGGCATGGCCGATGTGACACGACACACTTTCCCTCTCTCTTTTTTGGGTATGTTTACATATATAAAATTGTAATACCTGCTTGGCCAATGTTTCCTGGTGGCTGGCACCCTACACGTGTGCTGTGGGAATGGAGAGGGGGGAGGGGAAAAATAAAGTATCTTGCCTTCTCCCCCTCCCCCTTTCTCTTGGTCCCACTGTTGAATCTCCACCAAAGCATGGTAGCCCCTCAAAATTGAGTGATGCGCATTACAGGGATAGGTCATTCAATGTCAAAAGGCATAAGAAAGATGAGCCAAACCTTCACAGGCTGCTGCTTGCTGTTGCCTTTAATTATATTAATTAAACTTTGAAATTCTCAGGCAAAGAGAGAGTTGCTGGTTTGTGACGCTGAAGAGCCCTTGGAGGGTTCGGTGATGGTTGAGGCGGAGGGAAGAGAAAAGATAGAAAGAGACGGAGAGAGAAAGAGAGAAAGACCCTGAGATGCCAGCTTTGTGGTGGCTGTTTTTTTTTTCTCTTTTCTTCTTCCTGTTACAATAATCCATAAGCCCAGAATTACTACGTATGTTTACAAAGGACAATGTTTTTATGCGCTACTGAGCACCAAGTGCAGAAAAGGGGAAGATACACAATTAGGCGCACTGCACGACCCTCGACGCCTCAGCTCCCTCAATCTCCACTCAAGACCTTTGGTTGCAGGCGGTCTTCCTGGAGAATAACGCTCTATTAATTTTTCTTCTTGTCCCGGGTACATCATGTACAAGAAAGGTGTCTCCGGAAACTGGAGGGCAAAGTTTTTGCTCGCCACCAATACCTTGAGGCACCACGACTACATTGGGTTGTACATGCGTACTGCACAGCGTCAAAGTGACAAGATTTTTAGTCAGTGGTTTCCCGTAAGGCACAATTTAACCGGGCGGCAGAGCAGGGGAATGAGGACTGAGACGCAAAGATTTCCATGAGATGACACCGCTGTAGGGCAATGGACTCCTTCCATGTTTTTTTTTTTCCAGCCCGGTGGGAATGTTGCTCTCCTCCTTGTGGTAAATACATTCATATTTAAATAATAAGTTCCATTCTTCGTGCCCATAAAACAAGACCACTGCAGGGAAGAGGCCCACCAAGGCATGGGTGTTAAAATCACAAAAGGCCCACCTGATCAGGCACTTGTTCGTGGTTTCCTATGCTGGATTTGCTGTGGAAAACTAGACACACAACGCCAAACTTCTTCACGTGGCCACTTGCAGAGTGGATAATACTGTAAGGAATACTGTATGAAGCAGTGAGCTGAAAGATAATGGCAAATGGAAAAGCTTTACGTGGCGATGGATGACTTTTGCACAGCCAAATGGAATAAACGTCCTAGCTAGGGGCCAGGAATTATTCCGAGGGTCTTCATAAGTGCTTCACTCAGTGTCTTCATTTGGTTATAATAAAAAAATACAATGGCTTTTCTTTTCTTTTTTTCCTCTTCTTGTTTTACTGAGATTGCTCTCTGGTAAAGTTTATGCACCGGCCCTAAAAGACAAAAAAAATAATAGTAATAATTAATTTGCAACACAGGAAAAAGATATTTCTAAAACGTTAGCAAGGTTAAGTAATGGCTCTATCCCAAAAGGGTGATTTATACAGGAGGAAACAGAATATGCTGTTCTTGGCAACAAAAACTATCAGTGGTCATCTTTTGGAGCACAGGAAATTTAAATAAATACGCATCATGCCACAGGAAGGAAAAGAATCAATAAACAGCCTGGGACTATTTAAAAATGAATATTTTTCTCACAACTTTCATCTAGACTTGCTTACCATAATTGGGTTATGACTTGGATTACTGCAATGTGCTCTGCTCTACCTGGGGCTGCCCTTGAAGACTACAACTGGAAACTGCAACTGGTTCAGAATGCAGCCGCGCACGTAGTGATGGGGCCCCTCTAAATTTGCCCATGTAAAACCTGGCTTCCCATTTCTTTCTGGGTGCAATTCAAGATGGCGGTCATCCCTCTTAAAGCCTTGTGTGGCACAGGGCTATACACAAGGAGACCTACATGTCCCATAGATTAGATGCTCCGACTTCCTTCCCCTGAATATTGCCATCCGATGGGAGCTAGGAAGTGTGCCTTTTTCACGACTGCCCCTGCCCTATGGACATTCTGGCCCCTGAGGTTTACCAGATCTTCACCCTCTTAGTTCTTCCATACAGCTTTGAAGATGTGGTTCACCCTCCCCCCCCAAGTATTGGGGAAAGACTAGGATTTAGAATTCTTGACTCGGTGAAAGGTTTTACCTTTTGTTTTTTAATGTTTTAATCAGTTTGGTTTTACAGTTTTAATGTGATTTTATACGTCTTTTTGAGTCTTCGATTGGGAGCCATTATAGATAGATAGATAGATAGATAGATAGATAGATAGATAGATAGATAGACAGACAGATATAGATAGATAGATAGACAGACAGACAGCTAGACAGACAGATACAGATATAGACAGACAGAGAGACAGCTAGCTAGCTAGCTAGATATAGATAGACAGACATAGATAAATAGATAGATAGATATAGATAGATAGATAGATAGACAGATATAGATAGATAGATAGACATAGATAGATAGATAGATAGAGACAGATATAGATAGATAGATAGATAGATAGATAGATAGATAGACATAGATAGATAGATAGATAGAGACAGACAGACAGACAGACAGACAGACAGACAGCGAGAGCGAGAGCGAGAGAGAGACAGACAGACAGAAAGACAGACAGAAATACAGACAGACAGACAGATATAGACAGACAAAAATAGATAGGTAGGTAGGTAGACAGACAGATCACCAAATCAGCCAAAGTGAACAGTTACAAGGTGTGTGTGTGTGTGGAAATAACAGGACTTTTTTCATATTGACCCCCTGCCTTTACACCTGCAAAGCTTTTGCCCCAGTGTGAGTCCATCAATGAAGGTGGAGATTAAAAAAAAAAATCAAGATGGTGGCTACAATCATGTGATCAAAGCCCTACCCATTTTCATGCATACCCCTTTTGGACCGATGCTTCTCTGCAGCCTTACAGTGACCAACGAGAATCTTTTTATTTTTCCACTCATTTTAGGAAACTGTTTTAAAATTACCCAATATTGTTTTGCAGATGGCGTGTAATTTTACCTGCAATAACATCAAATGTTACTGCTATTGTTGCTGCTGCTAATTGAGATGTAACTTTTATCAACCTTATGCTCTTGTTTTATTGTGTTATACTGATCCATTTTGTATCAGATGCTCTTAACAGATTGCCCAGTGAATATGGTTTACTGAGCAATCTAAAATACATAATAAATAAAAAACATACAGACACCAATGCATGCATGAAACAAGATTTTAGCCCAGGACAAAAGTTATCTACCTTCCTCTAATCATCCTTCAGAAAAGCTGGACTACATTTCCCATCCACCCTAGCAACTCAGACATGGAAGGCCGATTTCAAAATCAAGATCTATCAAGGAACAACACATGCTTATTGGTTTTTTTCTGCAATTCAGTAGCCGAACTCTGCCTCTTGACAAAAACTATCATGATGTGAATGCTGAAGTACTGTATATGTCAGGGGTCTTCAAACTTGGCCCTTTTTATGACTTGTGGACTTCAACTCCCAGAATTCCTTAGCCTGGCTGAGGAATTCTGGGAGTTGAAGTCCACAAGTCATAAAAAGGGCCAAGTTTGAAGACCCCTGCTTTATACTTTGCATTCCTTAACTGTCCATCTGTTGGCTGAGGACATGGCTGGTGAAATTCCATTTTACAGCCAAACAGTTGTAATTATATATTGTGTTCGCAGTGATTTCCTTGTCACAAGGAAATACCAGAAATGTCACAGTGAAATAACTCTGATACAGCCTTCTTTTCAGAGGTGTATTCTCCGGAATACATCAACCAATTTAAGAATGAGACAATGCCCAATCTCCGATATTTTGATTTAACAAATTGGACTTGGCTACTGTCAGTAAGCGAATGTAGGTGTTATTAACTGCCCAGAGTCACTTCAAAAGTGAGATAGGCGGCATATAAATTTAATAAAAAATAAATAAAAGTAATAAACTGAAATCAACGTCTCTACCTATGTGATCCAGTAAAAAATATTGGACAATTTCCCTTTTTTTCTCACCCTACTGTATCTGATGAATGAGCAAAAATACTATCCTTACGGTACCACCCAAATATTCATATATTTGAATATATGGCTCTTTTTTTAAAAAAGGCAACATTTCCAATTATCTATCAGACAGCGATTCCAGTGTGCATTTTATCACAGGAAGCCTAATGGGTCACATTCTTTAAATGCATCTTCCATTAATATAATCATGATTTGCACCATCACCCAGCAGAAGGCCGTGATTAAAATCAAGGGGATGAGCAGATTGTTCAGCAGTGAGAGCCAGATTAAACATGCATCATGGGCTGAGGAAACTTAGCTGATTTACATATATTAGTTGCATGCAATTAAGATAATTTGCACATGCATTGTGGGAGCAATTGCTGCACTTTGTCTATGAGTGTTTTTTTGTAAATGGGAAGTAGGGCCTTGAACTTTGAAAAACTAAGGTTGCTTTTAAGATAATTGACATACAGAAAAGGAAAGGAAAGGAAAGGAAAAGGAAAAGGAAAGGAAAGTTGGAGGAGGAGGAGGAGGAGTGCATATTACAATAGTGGGGAGACTGCACTATTTATTTTCAAGCATTCATCAGATGTCACCGATGGCCACATTTCCAAGCAAATGTAGATGGTCACCAAATGCTCCACAGAGAGTCTTCAACTTACGACCACAACTGAGCCCCAAATTTCCATTGCTAAGCACGACAGTTGTTCGGTGATTTTTCCCCCATTTTACGACCTTTCTTGCCACTATTGTTAAACGAATTGCTGATGTTCTTAAGTTAGCAACACAGCTGTTCGGTGAATCCAGCTTCCCCACTGACTTTGCTTGTCAGAAGGGGCCAAAAGGGGGAATCAAGTGACCCCAGGACACACTGCAACAGTCGTAAATACGAGTCAGTTGCCCAGCATCTGAATGTTGATCACGTGACCCTGGGGATGCGTCAGGGGTCATAAGAATGAAAAAGGGTCCCAAGTCACTTTTTTCAGTGCTGTTGCAGCTTCAAATGGTCACTAAACAAATGATTGTAAGGCGTAGTAGCTGTATTTCCCTACCATCCTCAAAACCACATACACAATCACACACACAACTTTCTTATAGCCTTTCAGGGGTGGCACTTAAGAAAGCTGTGAGTATAGCATTTGCCGAATCCTGGAAAAATGAAGATATACCATCTGACGAGATTATAATTAGGGAAACTTTAGAATGTGCAGAAATGGATAGATTAACGTTAGAGATTAAAGAGAAAAAAGACTCAGTCTATTATTTATTTATTTATGAGACTTATATACCGCTTTAAGTGCAAGCACTCTCTAAGCGGTGTACACCAGTAAGCAATGAGATTTGAACCGCTGACCTGCTGAACACAGTCAGCTAAAGTGGCCTGCAGTACTGCACTCTAACTGCTGCGCCACATTGATAAAGGTGTTCCACATGGGAACACTTTTATCAATGGTTAACAAAATGAGATAGTGAAATTGAAATTTATTAAGATAACTGGTTTTTTTTTTCTTTTGATTAGTTGATAGGCTTTATAATTTTTGCTATCCTTGTTGACTACAGTTACTGATTATTATATTAGCCCTGTGGAAAACTTGTATCCGGACGACAGTTTGCTTGCTAAAGCTTGAAATGTTTGTGGGGGCAACCCCATTGTTGTACCTATCCCCACCCCAACCCTTTCCTTGAACCCTACCCCGAATCCCACTACCTATGTTGACCCTCCCTTTCCCCTACCTCTATAAAACCTAAAAAAATATTTTCAAAAAAAAAGAAAAAAAGAAAGAAAGAAAAGAAAAAAGAAACTTCCAATTAAACAGTGCCTGGAAAGCACATATTTTATCAAATTATCTTCAGTTACGCTATGCTTTTCGTCACCCTCCGCCATCCAAATACCAGGCACATCAAGGAAAAGGTTAGAAATTCAGCCTTGCCAACACCGCCTTTTCGGCTTCCATACAGGCAGTCCTCGACTTACGACCACAACTGAGCCCAACATTTCTGTTTTGCTAAGTGAGACATTTGTTAAGTGAGTTTTACCCCATTTGGCGACCGTCCTTGCCACCGTTGCTAAGTGCCACACAACAGTTGTTAAATTAGTCAGATAGTTGTTAATAATACTAATAATAATAATAGTAAAATTGGAAGGGACCTTGGAGGTCATCTAGTCCAACCCATAGGTCTACCCATTGACTTTGCTTGGCAGAAATTAACCGCATGATCCTGGGACACCGCAACCGTTATAAATATGAGTCAGTTGCCAATTGTCTGAATTTTGAGCCTGTGACCCTGGGGATACAAAGTGTCGTTAAGTGTGAAAAATGGTCATTTGTTCCTTTTTTTTTCCTTCAATGATTTTGTAACTTTGAACAGTTGC